GCCGTCTGGAGTGCACAGGAATCCAGTCTCCTTCCTCTCCCTCCCCCTTCGCCTTCCTCCCCCCACCCAGAAAAATCTGGTTTCGGGTCATCTGTAAGATTATATTTTTGCTTGCTAAAGCCGAAGCAGATCTGGCTGCTGCTCGCCCGAAAATGCTTCACCAGGTCTGCAGAACTGCGGGCGGTGGTTAAATGCTGTTGAAATTACCCTTCTTGCTCAGAATATCCCCTTGCATTTATGTAGAAGATGAAGATAGGAGTTATTAAACCTTCTCTAATTCTAGAAATCTTTTTTTTTAATGAAATGATCTGCATTTAAAAAAGAAGTAAAACAATGGGATTTTTTACCCATACACGGGATGATTTTGGTGACCCTGTTAACAGCGCGGTCCCATGAGGAGCTCGACCGGCCTAGCTGAACAGCAGCCAGAAGCAAGGGAAAAACAGGAACTTTATAAACTTGTTTGGCTGGTGGATCCTGCACTCGCATAACGATGTCTTTTGTCTGCAAGAGTCACCTTTTATTGTCTCTGTAAGGGAGTACCAAGTCTGCAAAAATCATGTCCTGCACAAATGCGCTCACCCAGACTAAGAGGTGCTCCTAAGTGGCTGCTTGCTTCGATTCCTGCAAACGTGAAACTGCTTTGTTAAACTATGTAGCCTGCAGCCCTTGCCCTGTAAAACTTGTGTAGCGGAACTGAAAGTAACTTTAAGTAAAGTTTACTATAAGTTTAGATCAAAAAAGGGAGACTTTTATGAGATGAATGACATTGATGGGCTGAGTCAGGGTATTTTTAAAGGATAAACATGGTCTCAAAAATCTCTGGTAGTTGCTGTGCACCTCATAGCTTGGACTGTGTAATTTCAGAGCAAGATTCAACCTGCAGCATGTGATGCTGCTCGCAGGGGGCCTCACAGCCAAGCTGATAGCTGATGCGTTGTCTTGGCTCGCTTCCCTTCCCTGACGTAGGAGCAGTTGTCTAGGAAATCGGAGAGTCGCCAGTTGATTTTACACCGAATGGATAAAGGAAGTTCAAGAACAGTGGTTCAAGAATTTCCAAACTTACCACAGGGTAAAAAACATAACAAAACAAACTCCCCACAGCTCAAGTTTAAGTGTAAATCAGGCAGAGAGGCAGAGGGGTGGAGGAGGGTAGGGTATGGTGGCCTGATCTGACTCAGCGGCGCTGCTGTAGTTTCTCCATCCTTGGGTCTCGTGGGCTTGGGTCTTCTGGGATACTCACAAAAAACAAGTGTGCAGAGGTGGCTGTTGGAGCCAGCTCAGCCCTCCTGCTGCTGCTGCTGCTTTCCGAGGTGTCTCCGAGAGTCACTGCTGCTGACGGGCGCCCCGACGCTGTCCTTATACACTGCTCCTTCCTTAGCATCTCGGGTTGAGCAAGGGTCTCCTCCTCCCGAGCAGCTCCTGCTCTCCAGGGGCCCCGAGTGCTTAGCGAAGCGCTGTGTGCGTGGAGAGCACGCTGTAATTTCTTTTTAAAATGGCAAGCATTTATCTGATTCAGAGCTATGTAAATTCAGATGCAAAGGAGCTGCAGCCCTGGGGACGCTTGGCGCGTTGCCCGCGGCACTCTCGGTGCTGGAAGGGGCCGCGCGGCACTGCTGCTCCAAGGAAACTCGCGAGCGCGTCGTTCCCCTGGCTTTGGAGGTGCTCGCGCCTTGGCCCTCATTCATTTGCCGTGCTGGCTCAGGAAGGAAAGGTCCTTCTCCCTCCTCCTTTCCCCCCTGGTAGCTCTCCTAGAGCTGCCTTCCCCGCTCGGCAGAGTTGGTTCTGATGCCACCGCCTGCAGCTGGTACTGAAGGGCGCTTTAGCCAGGGCACCTCCTGGGTCCCGGCGCTGCTCAGAGCCATGCGGGTACCGCCTGGTTTTGGAAACCTCCTGTGCTGAGGTGCTCGGCAGGGCTTGTGGTGCTGGTTTTGGCTCCCAGAGCCTGAGGTGCAGTGAGCTCAACGGCAGCAGTGCCTGTGCACCTGCAGGACGTGCCCATATCCCTGCCTCTGGTCTGCCCTTTTCCGCTAGCCCTTTGCCACGTGGGCAAAACCTCTTGCCTTGAAAGGGAGCCGCTCCCTGTTGCCTCTTTGTGGGATGCAACAGGGCTCCCCTGCGTCGTGGCGGGGAAGGGAACCGTGTGGAGGATTTTCGGGGCTCCGTGGCTCGCTGTGCCCGGCACAGCAGCTCAGCTGTGGCAGAGGCAGAGCCCCTCCTGCCCCGGACGGAGGCCTCGAGCATCTGCACTGGGTGCCAGGACAGCCTCGTGGGGGGAAACGTCTGCCAAACAGTTTCTCTTTGCCGGTTTTCTCCCCTTGGGTTTTTCTTCTTGCCTCATCCACTAACCCACATTACGATTTAGATGCTCCCTCAGAGAGCCAGAGGAGGAACCAGAAGCACCAGCAAAGGCAGAGCTGGCCTTAAAAAAGTCCCTGGGGAGGTTGTCAGGGGAGGCGGTGGTGAACGGCGGCGAGGGGAACCACGCTGCTTGCTGGGGAGGCTTCGGGAGCTGTCCTCGTGGCTCAGCGTTTGAGAGGTGAGCAAGACCAGGATGAGCCCAGAGGTCCACCAGGTCCATTTGTGGTGGAAGTGCGGTGGGAAGAGCTGACTTGGCCTGGAAATTCTCCCTGGCTGGGAGAATTAACGGCTCAGAATTAACGGTAACTGTTAGTTACTTGTCTCTCTCCTGGCAAAACAAGATGCGACCATCAGTATTTCATACTGGGAGAAGTGCTCAGGCTAAACACTGCCCCTTCTCAGGAGTGTGCGGCTCGGAGCTCGCGCCCCCCTGCGCCCCGTGCTGCAGCTCGGGGCGCTCAGAGCGGCGGGGGTGACCGCGGGGCGCGCGGAGCCGCTCGCCTGAGCTTGGCGCCACTCCTGGGTTTACTGTTTTCCTCCCTGCTCTATTTCATCCTGCAGAATACTTCAGTTGTCATTGTGTCTCCGGGTTACCCACGAGGGTAGCTGGTACCCCGGGCCTGCCTGGTCAAAGACGGGCTCCCTGTGTAGCAACTGCTGTTCCGCAGACTCAAACTGTACAGACAAACCCAAACAAACCCATCGTCTTTTGCACTGCAAAGCCCTGGGAAAATGAGTAAATAAATACGTGTGGGATGACTTGCCAGGCAGGTGGGCTGCATTCTCCGGCATGGGCGTTGGATCCAGTATCCCAGTCTCCCAGTACCCCAGCGATGCAGGGAATCTCAGTGGGATACAGTCCCAAAGGCCGCTCTTCAGCGTGTCCGCCCCAGGCCTGTCCCTTCGGCCGTGCTCTGCACCTTTGCCTGCACTGTTAAAGCTCTTGGCCTCTGTGCACAGGGTGTGCAGCTCGGAACCACTGCCCTGTTGATTTCCCAGGGATTTACACCCCTTTGGAAGTGCTGATGGCTCTGGAAGCGGCTGCTGAGCAGGGCTTTGGGAACTGGTCCTGCCCAGCTCGAATGGGGCTGCAGGTGCTGGCCCTGGGGCCATGAGCTCCCCAGGGAGTGGGAGCACTTACAAATAAATAAAACTAATAAAGAGGGATTTCTGGTCAACATTTACTTGCCTCTTAAAATCTCCTTGGCTGGAAGTGGGACCTGAGTGCGAGTGAATCGTGCCTGTTAGAAACACTGCATAGCTCCTGGAAAGTATTAAAATAAGAAAAATATTTGGTCTGTAGTTTCCCCTAGACTCATGGAGGTGCTCTGACCGTCCTGTGGTTAGAGCTGTGGCTGTTGTTATTTATAATCAGCTGCAGCTCTTTGTTTTCACTATGAGGCTGATGTTTATTTTCTCTGGTTGGACGTGCTGCTTTCCTTCCTGTAAACACAACAGGAACACTGCTATCACCAGGCCAGCCTTTACAAAGCAGCCTGGCCACAGGGTGGCCAGTAGCACCTGGCTCAGATTTCACCAGGGGACACGAAGGGAACTGAAAGTTTAAAATACTTTCCCATGGATTTATGCTCAAGGGCTGGGTTGTTTTGGCCAAGTGATTTAATACTGTGTAGAAATGTGCATGCAGCCAGAAGAATGGTAGGCAATGTTAGAATAATTTAAATATCCTTTTCAGTCAGATCATCTTCTATTAAAACTGTTTTACAGAATCTGTTGACTGTGTAAAACTTGACTATATAAGAGTTAGGGAAACTTTTTTTCCCCCCTTTTGTTGTTTTCTGTATAACGCGATATTTTCTTTTAGATTTCTTATTTTTGTCATCACTTTGCAAGCTTGTCTAAATACTGTAGGTCTTGCAGAAAATTTCTCCATTGCTTATGCAGCTTGTGATGATCAGCCTTATGAAGGCTGTTGTTGGGCTTGCGCTTTTCGCCTCCTTTAAAATACATTTTCTATTTAAAGTTAAGTGCCCCCTCATTCTCTAGTTCAAACATATTTTCAGGGTGATTAGTCTCAAGATGACCCTCCCTGAACTCCCTGGCACCTTTGTGTGGTAGGTGAAATTGGCTGCAGCTCCTGTGAGAAATTACAAACCAGCCTGCCGAGAGGGAAAGCGCTGACCTTTCTGTGGGTTTGACCTTGTTTGTCATTCAAATTCCCGAGCAAACCTTCTCCTGTTTTGCACAGAACTTCCTGTTACAAGGAAGCTACTAGGGTCTGGCTAGCACCAGGCATGCTTGGAGCCAGGGGCTTTCTTTCATCAGTTGTTTGAGATGCCTACTCAAGTTAAGTAGAACTTAGACCAAGGCTGCCTATGTGTTAAAATCCTCTTTATATTTCCCTCTAAAAGTATTTTTCATTAAACATCCTAACATGAAATGGGGATAGTCTTGTCTAATTGCCTGAATAACTGTGAAGCATAAAGCTGCTGGCTGGCAGTGTGGGTGTTGGAGACCCGCGGGCCGTTTTGGTCATCTGAATTTGAACTGAAGAGTTTGGGCTTCCTCGGACACGTTTGCCATGTGGCGGAGCGTGCCCTTTCTCACACCTGTAGTCGCCCCTGCGCTGCTGGACACGGCCGGCGTCTCACTGGGTTGTCTTTTGGTCTTGCAGGTAGCTGTATCCAGCTGGGTGGCAGGCGGATCCAAGGGTCACCATGAAGTTTCCAGGACCCCTGGAGAGCCAGAGGTTGTCTCTCCTTCTGGAGACGGCAATCTCTAGAGAAGCTCAAATGTGGAAAGCACATGTGCCGAAAATTCAGCCCAATCAGGTAAAGTGGCTTTCTTCACTTCTTATATTTTGGTAAAGACTCTGTCAAAGGCAAGAGGGTATTTGCCAGGGTAGTTTTATGTGAACAACCGAGGCTGTTACCTGAGAAGTCACCTTCTGTTCGGGAGCTGGGCAATTACCCTTTGAAGTAGCTAATGTTTTATTGGAGGAACACACTTGCAGTTGGGGGTAGGATTACATCCAGGGGTACGAAACACACTGTGCAGGATACAATGTTAAGTCTCTACTGTTTCTTGTGAAAGCACATACTTGTATTGCTTTAATTAAATTCATTTTATGAATTGCATGGGTAACTAACATTTCTAGAGGGCACTCGCTGTGCCGCAGTTTTGGAAAGCAACTTAATGGTATTAGATTAAGCTTCTTAATACTTCTTCTCACCTGAACCGTCACTGCGGTCACTTCTGTAGGCACAGATATATTGTAAAGGGCTCGATATCAGTTTCCTTAGTCCGGTTAAAGGTATCGGCGCGAGCGACATGCTTGTCAGAGATGGTAAGTGTATCGTGACTGTGGCTGACTTGAGGCCATGCGCATTTTAAGAGTCTTGTTTATGGCACACCAGCCTGCTCTTCTGCACTGGCTGTGCCCCGGGGTGAGTGATTATAATGTGGTGAGATAAGATTACAGTATAACGAGATAGGTGAGGGATTCGGGATTCGGGAAGTGTAACCAAACCGGATTCTTGTGAGAAGATTTCCCAGTGACAAAGCTCCTGCGTTTTTGCCTTTGTGAGCTTGATTCTGGGTGGCCAAGAAGCCACCACCTCCCCCAGCCCTTCCCCGCAGCAGTCCCACCCTCGTGAAATGGCATTGCCACCCCATGAGGACGTCCCCAGCTGCGTGACATGTTTGAGTTGTCACAGCAGCGTAAGGACCGACCTGTGTCCTCTCTGTGGCAGAGAGCCCTTGTCTTGCTGCCAGGCACCTCCGTGCTCTCTCTCTCTCCCGGCAGAAAGAGCTGGGCTTTACCTGGCGCGGTGTCATGGGGCCTGCACGTTGCTGCGGTTGAGGTTTTGCAGCATCTGTTGAGATACTGTCCTTGGCCGTAAATACTCAGGGAAGGTAATTTGACTTTTGGCGATCTGCCAGATACCAACTTGGGAAGGCAAATCCATTCTGTGGAAAGTCACAGTAGGATCGAGTGTGGAAGCAGCGATTAGTGATGGCTAATCCATTGCAAGAATGTGTGCTCAGTAAAATAGTGCTCAGTTCTGGCCTGAACCACGTTGGTGTTTTTAGTGTGCAATTCTGCCGTGATAATAAAGGTTATCTCCTTCTCTCTCCCTTTTTACTGTGATAATAAAGTTGAGATTCAAACTCCTCTGTGTTTATCACCATGAGGGTTTTTCTCCTGGGACTTCATAAGATTTCCATCAAAACTGTGCTGCTTTTAGAATTTTTTTTTTCCTACATATAAATTCAAGCTGTTGACTTTATCAGCTAGAATGTCATAGCATTAAAACTTAACGTAGCAGTAAAACATCATAGCACTGGGTGGAAGTCTCCCTGTGCGCGTGTGTACGATGTGCAAAGGTCACATTTGACCGAGAGCATCAACACAGCTGCCAGCGCATGGGAAACGCCGCCTGGCACAGCCGGGCCCTGGGCCTGCGATGCGCTGCAGTATTTCTTGCTCTTCCTGTACTCCCAGCATGACTTCCAATCTGTCACCTTTCCTTTCACTGATGCAGGATTCGTTTTGGACAAGTAGCACATGTAGCTCAATGTGAATTACTCTGTTTTCTCCAGTACCTGAAAGGAAGTCATATTCCACAACATCCATTTGCTTCTTTTGAAAACAGCTTCGGTGGCCTAAAACCTCCCTTGTATGAAACTGCCATTTATTTCCCATGACAGTCAGGAAATCTGCATCGCTCTGGGTATCAGATCTGGCAACCTGAAGCAAGAGTAACTTTCCATTCCTTGCCACAAGGGTAGACTGACTTAAAAATGTGTTTCAATGAGGTAATCTGGCTTGCAAGCGAGGAGTGTGTGCATGCATGCGCAAGAGAGCTCGTGATCAGATGAGAAATGCAGCTTAACTGTTTTTCAGGAGTGAAATTTTCAGTTTGATTCTTGGAGACACTTTCAATCCTAATGTTTAAAAGTAACACATAAGTGTCCTTTCAAAATTAGAGAAACAGGAAGGCACTATCCTTTTCAGCACAGGGTAAAGCATTTCTGCCTTGACAGCACTGGCTCCAGGTGTTTATAAATACACCCAAGCCACATGTCACAGAGGTTTTCAGCCTGATAAAATACCTGGGCTTCTCCTGGGGCCCCCTTGGTTTCATTAGTGTTGCTTTTTACCTTTGGGTCTTACAACATGCAGGTGCCATGCAGGAAGTTCTCCTGCCATTAAAGGCATAAGAAATCAGGCAGCAAAGATAGGTCAAAATTTTATTTTCGCATGTTACCAAGTAACTTTGCAACAGAGACTTGTTTGAGTCAAGATTTTCACTGTATTTTTAGTACACTATAGTGTCACACCTACTATTTCCTCTCCCTCTGCTTGCTCTTTCTCCCTGTCCCTGTATCCTCATTTGTTCTGTATACATCACGAAGAGTCAGGAAACCTCAGTCCATCCCCAGTTTTTAACAGCGTCTCCTCAGGTGACCTTGGGGACGTCTCGTAACCTCCCGGTGCCCGCTCCGTGCCGTGGTGAATCAGAGGCTGCTGCTTCCAGCATTGCGAAACGCGCTGAGATCGGCACATTCAGCTTCCCGCCGCGCAGAGCTGTGTGCGGGCCCACCAGCAGGCGTGTGTGCACCTTGTTTGGCAGCTTCTTTCCCTGTAACGCACCTGGTAACTGCAGGGTGGAGCTCAGCACGAGGCACTCGCGCTGTGCGCAAGGAGCAGGCAGGAGCTGACACCCCATTTGCTTCCCAGTTTTGTCTTAAACACATTCAGTTCAGTTCGGGACCTCCACCAGGACAGTTAAGTTGATGTTTGTGCTGGCACAAAACCCATCAGGTGCTCCAAAAACATGGGCATGGGCATCCCACCTTTCTTCTTGAGAAGAAAACAGAGGCCCATCACTCAGATGGATGGTGTTCGCAGTCCTGCGAGTCAGCCGGGGTCGTGCTCGTCCTCCATGTTCCCCTTCCCAGGCGGCCTGGAGCTCAGCGCCTCGGGAGGCCGCGCATCCGGTCCCACTGGGGCCTTCAGCGAAGGGCTGGGATCAGCGTCCACTTTGTGGAAAGCACAAGTCGTGCCTGTGCCTGCGCATCCCAGTGCGGGGACAGGCAGATCCGCAGGGCCAGCCTTGCTCCGCTCCGAAAAGAGGAGAGGGAGAAGTGCCCAGCAGAGAGGGTGAACAGCTCTCAAGCGCAGGCGGTTGCTGCGTCTGCCCCAACGCAGCCGCCCGCCAGGCGGAGGCCTCATTCCGTAGCGGCAGCTCCGGGGCGGCTGCATGGAGACACTCGCAGCGGCAGAAGCGCCGCTGCTCCGCAGAGGGAAGGCGCTTGCCAGCCCCAAAGCAGCTTCTGCAGCCCAGAGGGACATTTTACTTTCGTGCCTCATTTTTTGCTTTTAATTTTAGGTAACTCAAGGAAGGATGACCTCGCTGCTTAATTAATTGTACAGTGTTGCATTATTCACATAACTAGGCTGGCATATACGCACCCTCGAGTTAGAGGGACAAGAGACTGCGATACTGGGGTAGCAGGCTCCCGGCCTCGCCTGCCGGCAGCAGCAGCATTCGCCCACGGGAAGGAGCAGATCCCGCTCGCTCCGGCTGCCTGGGAAACGAGCTCTGCGAGGAGGCCTCAACCTGCCTGCCCCTAAACTGTATGGGTAGCGCAGTCCTGTGCCCAGCAGCCCTAGAGCTCCAAGTGGAACCTTTATGGCTCTGGGGCTAGTGCAGGGAAGGACTGAACATCCTCCTCTTTCTCCTTTCCTTCCCCACTGGGGTTCTTAAGAAGCCCACATTTATTCTGAAGCTTTACCTCTGCTGAGCATGTGCCTAGAAATTATTTGACCTTGAGGTTACTCCTTCATAACCAGGAACTGTAGTGCTCTACGCTGCCCAGGGTTGCTCTGTTTTTCAGGGATTTAGATTATGGACTAAGTTTTTCTCTACACAAGTCTGCCAAAGCTGCCCAGCCAGTCTGTGGGTATAAGTCCTTATGTACATCTTTTCCTCCTTCCATTTAACAATAAATGCAGCGAATAAAGCCACAAGGCAGTTGAGCTTTATGGTTGCTCCTCCCCTTCCTGACAGTGTTTCATAGGTTCGCTGCACAGTGCTCACCTCGCGATGTGGGAAGCAGTGTCTAAAAGGAGAGCCTTGACTCTGTGCTGAGTTTCTCCCCCCAGATAATTTCTAGGTCACTACCCCTTATTCAAGCAGCTTCCCCATGTTCTGCAGGCACAAGTAGCACCTTTCGTAAGACCAAGTGTCACAGCTGAAAAACAAACAGCGTTTCTGACTACAACCTGCTGTGCCTTTAGGCAGTCACCAGCACTCCCGTGTTACCTTTTCTAAGGGCAGCAGCTCCGAGCGGGACCCGTATCCGTGACGGACGTAACTAGCTGGGCACCCACCACTGGGTTTCAGTTCTCACGTCCCGACACGTCCTCGCTCGTCACCTCGAATAATCCTGCCTGAAGTGAGACCAGGGGGACGCTTGGCTGAAGGGCCCTGTGGAAGCTGTGAATGTTTCAGAGCACAAGTCAGGCTGATGTTTATGTCAGTGATCGGTCTATATTACTGGCTGAAATTCAACTCTTGTCCAAACAGATCAATAGCAGTGACTTGGGTGAAAAGGAAATAAAGAAGCCTTTGAATTAAAATTGTACCTGCTTAGCCCTGGTCCACAGTTTCCTTGGCTGCTGAAAGGGTTTTTCTTTTTTTGTGAGCTCTGTTTAGAATCTTCTATTTTTAACATGTTCTGAGCTAAAAAAATACTATGATTTTAAAGAGAAATAAACCTTTCCTTCTCAAAACACTGACTCATTTTTCCTGCTGTGTGCTGTGTGTCCGGGGCTGGGCACCCACCTGGCTCCTGCAGCAGATCTGCTCTGTTCAGGCCTGGCTTTTGTGTCCCTCTGAGCGGTGCCCCAGCCACAAAGGCCAATAAACATCTCCAGGCTAAACTAGAGAGGACTGGCTCAGCACCTAAGAAACTGCAGGGTAGCCTCCCTCCTCTTCTCCAGTGCAGTAACATTTACAAGTGGTGTTGAAGGAAGGACTTCCCTGAAGAAAGGTGGCTGCCCTGTGGGAGAGCAAATTTGACTGGAGTGGCTGTATTGTTTCCTGGAACAGTGCCCATATCACCTACCTCCAGCTGTCACTGATCCAGCAGCCTGGGCACTGCCGGGGGTGGAGGCAAATCCCATCCCCTATTTGGTGCCAAGGGCCTGGCTTGCAGCTCTGCAGCCAAGAGACACAAACAGCTCTCAGAGTAGCGAGAAGTCACAGGATTAGGAAAAGGCAAGAGATTTCCTCCATATTCTTAGTAATTTTCTCACCCACAAGCTCAGTAATTTATTATCTTGTTGACCTGGGCGAAAAGACTCCAGAATACCCCAACGTATCTTAGATGGCTTTGGACATGTTGCTAGACCTCAGAGCCATTTATCAGTGCCAGGAGAAAATCTGAGGTGAAGTTACAGACGGTTCCACTGAAGCTGAGGGGCCTGACCTGGGCCTCAGTTTCCTCAAGGGGGTTCAGAGCAACCCCTTCTGAAACAGCCTTTCTGTCAGCACCGACTCCTGCAGAGGTAAAATTGTTTGGTGTTTTCCAAGTTGCACAGCCCATTTTAAGAACATTTTTTTCCTCTCTCCAACAGGATGTAGCCATTTCTCCAAAGCAGAGGGATGAGGTCATTCAGTGGCTGGCCAAGCTCAAATACCAGTTCCACCTTTATCCAGAAACGCTCGCCCTGGCCATCAGTCTTTTGGACAGGTTTTTAGCCACAGTAAAGGTAAATATTTGCAGATGCGTCAACTGAAATGGATCTTGACTGCCAGCAACCGTCCTTCCTGCTCCTGGGGATAATCCTGCTCGCGTGACCGTTCAAAGTGCTTGCTTGTCACCTCTGCTCTTCCACCCGCCTTTCTCGAGCGTACGCAGGAGTTCCCTGTGTTGCTCTAAGCCTCAGTTCCAGGCTCGGGGCTGTGGCGGCAGCCCCACTCGCCACGGTGACCCACTGCCGCCAGGCATTTGTGTGCAGAGTTGCTCTCCTTAGTCACTTTTTCCCCTCAGTAAAAGTAGCCTTTGCTTTAATGAGAACATGCAGGTCAGCCTCTCCCGGCAAACAAACCCAGTGCTTCTACCTGCCAGGAATATTTTCTCCCTCTCCTATTCTGCCTTGTTTCCTTCATGCGCTGCAGCTCATTAACTCAAACAGCTATTAACCTAGGGGAAAAGAGCGCCCTGCCTTTTGAACTGCACATTCTCTTTAAACCTGGCTTGAAGGTTCAATTAACCCTACCAAAATACTTGTTTCTTAAGCTATACCCAACTGCAGCTTAATTAAAGAAAAAAGTGTCTATTAAATAGAGAAATTGAAGCAGTTATGTTTTCAGATGAAAAGAATACTCTGCCTTGCACAACATTGAGTCATAAAGCTCGAGGAAATGTTTGCTAGCCCACAGTTAGCAACCTAAGCCTAGTGCCCTCTCACACAGAAAGCCAGAAGGCCCCGGCTTGACACCCTTCATTGCTGTGGTGTGGAACTGCAGCAGTACTGGCTCTCGCTTGGATCACCCAGGCGTGCTGGGAGCACTTGCTAGCAGTGGACTAGCTAGGAGGAGCCACAGATGTTGGAGGACAGGCCCAGGGCAGGTGTGCTGGGGAAGAGCAGGCACGAGGCAGCTGGAGATGAGCGCCATGCGCAGGGAGGAACCGCTTGACACCCACCTGCTCTGGAGGCAGCCCGAGGGACTGAGATGTAAGGCAGGCACTCTCAGACAGAGCCCGGGCAGACGTGGTAGACAAGCAGGCTCGCACGTCGCACCAGTGACAAGCCCTGTGCTCCTCCTGTGCTCAAAGGTGGGGAGAACGCATCCGTCAAGTGTATACACCATAATACACCCATAAAAAAAGATTTTTTTTAAAGTATAGTATTTCACAGGGACTTTTAAAGGTTTTTTTTAAAAAAATAAATCAGTATTTAGACCATCTGCATCTCTAAGCAGGATGTCTGACTGCTTTGTGTCCAAGCCAGTCGCACTGTTTGGGCTAAGAGGCACAGCAGTGGGAATAACTCACAAGTGCAGAGCTTGGGATGCATTTTGTTCCCACGTGGGTGGCTGAACTGGGGAGTCACCTCAAGATCCCTGGCTCTGAGTGGTGAAGTCAGCCCTGGGCCTTATCTCTCCCCTGTTGGCTCAGTTCAATTCTGTGCTCAGCAAACCTGCAGTGTCATCTGCATGTGGGCCTAATCTTATTGCTGAGTGATGCAGGTCGGGCAGAACGAAACATTTCCAGCCCGTGAACTTACATTTCAGTGAGACTTGGCTCAGCAGAACAATGACATCTTCCATAATTCATCCTTCAGATACTGTTAATATTTAACATTAATATTTACCATTTCAAATATAGGTCACAAATCTTAACTTAAAACAGAGGATTTACTGGAACACCGAGATGGAAAATAGATATTTACAATCCCCAACAGTAATGCCCTCAAGTACAGTTTTTGCAGCAGCCAGAGAGTGTACAGAGAAACCAAGTAGGAGGCTGTGACTAAGGAAGTGTGCGGGGCCCTTCAGGCACCGAGGGCAGCGTGGACAGGTGGTGGTCAGGAGGGTTCCGGCTTGTCCCGTGCTCCTTCGGGCGAGCGTTACTCACCCCAGTGAGGACTTCCGCTCCCACTACTGCTTTTCTTCCCCCAGGAAGATGTTCCTGCACCCATACACCCTAACTCCCGCTTCCTGCTCAGCCCTTCTCAGTGCAATTATGATGAAGACAACTCATCTCTGCCCTTTGCTGTAAACATGCACTGGACTCGCTCAGCCCCTATGGCTGTTTTCCAGTTGCTCCATACCCTAGATCACTGCACAGCAGCAGTTAACCCTTCACTTGCTGATCGAGGCAGCATTTACCTGGTGGGGAGGCATTGGCAAAGCAAGCAGAGGCTGCTGGAGGAGCCAGGGTGGTCACTGTAGTTTCACATGCCGGTCAGAAAAGGCTCTTGACTCTCACAGCTTGGTTGTTTGCTTAGCAATTGAGAGAACAAGCATATTGCTTGTAATGCTAAATAAAGTAATGCTAAATAAAGCAGGGAATAAACTTGGCTGAGCCTTCTAAGTTGCTCTAAACATCTTCTTTTCCCTCAATCCCACGTCCTTTTTACTGTACATTTATTTCACCCTGACAGTTGGCTGTTAACCTGCTGACACGGGGAAGAACAAACCTTAGTCTCACCTAGAGGGAATGGGCACCTTCGTGGGTACGACACCTGCACACGCCCCGCGAGCAGCTCCACTCGGCTTAAATGTCCCCAGAAAGCCACGACTCTGGGCACAGCGAGTGCTTTCCTGTAACTGAAACTGAGGGCTGCTAAAGATCCTTAACTTGGATGGGAGACAGCATCCTTTCTTGAAAGCTGGCTGCAGGAACGTGGCTTGTAGGATCACACCCTTTAGCCCCCGTATGTCTGTTCTGCCCACTGAAACTAACTTGGCAGGAATTAGTCTGGAAAGAGGTGCTGCCCTCGGCACACTGTTTTCACTTACCTTTTGCTTTTTCTCCCTGAAATTCCTTTCGGTGCGGGCAGGAGATCAGTGGTCCCACAGGCTGCATCAAGGCGGAGCGGGTTGCTCGGGGAGCCGCAGTGGGGTTAGACACAGAGCTCTGCTTTCCTCAGCTCCTGCGCCCAGCCCTGAGCAGCGGAGGCCGCCCTGTCACCCTGCCCTGTTTTCAGGCTTGATGGGAGGCCGAGGCTTTAGCCAGGTGGGCAGGTTGACAGAGATGGCTACCGAGCAGCAGCCCGTGAATGAGTCGTGAGCACGTGCCCAGGTGGCCATGGAGCACTAACCTGCACACACACAGCCAGTACACATGTTCCTTCCCCCTAGAACTGAGGCCAGGGAAGTTCTGAAGCATGAAAAATGCCCTCTTTTCCTAATCTAATTCAACTAGGTCTCATCTCGAGCACTTAGCTATAATAGAGGCCCGCTTCCCCTTCTTAATCTCTGTAAGAAACAACTTACATGCCTTATTCTTAGGTGTCCTTTACACTTCTAGAGTAGGCATGGTCAGCATTTCCAAACTCCGCTCTCATTCCTGCTCTGCCTGCAAGCACCCGTGCAGCTGGGCTGCGGCAGCAGGAGCAGCGAGGCGCTTCTGCCTGCTGATGAGCTGGCCCTTACGGTGTGCTCTGGGCTCCTGCCGCTGCACTGCCTAGAAACCCATGGTGCCAGGGTCAGCACTGGCTGCTTCTCGCGCTGCTTTACGTCATGGAATATGGATGTGGGCTGTGCACGCCCGCCTCCGCCGGGACCACGCGCCTGCTGATCCCGAACGTGCGGCGCGGGCAGCTGGAGCACCTGGGGCTGGCAGCACCCGGCAGCCCTTTCGGTGCTGCTTTCACACAGGGAACGTCTCTGCTCTATATCCTAGGCCCGTCCCAAGTACCTGAACTGTATTGCAATCAGCTGCTTCTTTCTCGCCGCAAAGACCATCGAGGAAGATGAGGTAACACAGATCTATCTGTTTTGTTCTGGTAAGAGGCTGTCAGCCCAGTGCACCCTTCCTTTCCGGGTCACCTGTGCTCACATGGCAGGGCTGAGGCTCCCGCTGCAGCACTGACCGGAGCTTTCTCCTTCTCCCTGCCCACATGTTGCCTTTCGCAGAGGATTCCAGTACTGAAGGTGCTGGCTCGGGATAGCTTCTGTGGTTGCTCTCCAGCTGAAATCCGTAGGATGGAGAAGATTATCCTGGATAAACTGAACTGGGATCTTCACATGGCCACACCACTGGATTTCCTTCATATTGTAAGTAACAGGATACTCTGTTTTCTCTACTGTCTTCATACATGCTACATCAAGAGGTATCGAGGCAAAAAAAAAAAAAAAAAAAACACGTACCTTAGGGGAGCAGAGCCCTGAGGATACACCACCTCTGTACAAGTACTGCCCGAAACAGCCCGTCTTTCCAGAGGGCTTCAAAGGCAGCTTGTGATTTGATACCCCAGGGGCAGTTTCCAAGACATTTGCCTACTGTCCAAAACTCCAGCCCTTTGTTGCTGCTGGTTTTGTTCCAAGTCAGGCAGCAGAAAAACTGAAGCGAAGCAGCAAGCAGTAGAGCTGGCAGGGGGCATGTCCAGCATGAGCTGCAGGAGGAGCAGGGAACCTGCCTGTTGGTAAGAGGTTACAGAGATGGAAATGCCATTCACTGAATTTCATCTTCTCTGAGCAAGGGAGGAGGTAAAGAGATCAGGCTTTTGCAGAGCTCCCAAAGTCCAGTGCCCCACCATCTATGACAGGACACCGTGGCAAAACACAGCACGAGTTTGTTTGTGGGTTCAATACAGCGCTTCTTCAGTCTTGGCGTGGGGAAAAAAAAGGGAGAATTCCTTGTGCCAAGTAGGCCACTCTGATGGTACAAGCTGTCTCTGATGGCCTGTGGCCAAGGGGAGCCTGTGGTGTACTCAGGGGTCGTGTGGCAGTATGAACAAGGCTCTGGGTGACACCACCTACCTCGTGCTTGTCTTCTTCCAGTTCCACGCAGTCGCGGTGTCCAACAGGCCTCAGCTTTTGACCATCCTGCCCAAGCTGAGTCCCTCGCAGCACGTGGCGGCCCTCACCAAGCAGCTGCTGCAGTGCATGGCCTGTTACCAGCTGCTGCAGTTCAAGGGCTCCATGCTGGCGCTGGCCATCGTCAGCCTGGAGCTGGAGAAGCTGCTCCCCGACTGGCTGGCTCTCATCATCGAGCTGCTCCAGAAGGTGCAGGTATGGGCGGCCTATGAAGCTGGGCTTCGCAGCACCCCGAGCCCTCATGGGTGCCCCGGGCCCTGGGAAGCTAGTGCCTGCTACGGAGTGGGTCTGAGGCAGCAGCTCGGGTATCACGTTTAAGCACGCTCGCTGCTCTCCTACTCCCGCGAGGACGAGCTGTGAGGCTGCTTGGGGGCGCGGGTGTCCGGAGCACGAGTCCTGCGCCGCTTGGCGGCCTCTGGTGCGGCGGTGGCGGTGGGTGCCCCCGCGCTCGCCCTGCCCGCTCCCTCGCCTCTCTTCTCTCTGCAGATGGAGAGCGCGCAGCTCATCCACTGCCGTGAGCTCGTGGCACATCACCTTTCCACCCTGCAGGCTTCCCTGCCGCCCAACTCTGTATATGTCTACAGTCCCCTCAAGCAGACCCTGGTGACCTGTAACAGAGGAGTGTTCAAATGCCAGCCCTCCTCTGTCCCAGGGCCAGGTTTCTCCAAGGACAACGGCAGGCCAGAAGTGCCCGTCACAGGTACAGCCGCGCTCCAGCAGCGTCTGCCCGCTCCCGCCGGCTGCAAGCAGGCCTCGGCCAAGCGCAAAGTGGAAGAGATGGAAGTGGACGACTTCTACGACGGCATCAAGCGCCTCTACAACGAGGACGCGGCTCCGGAGGTGGTGGCTCTGGAAAGCAAGGGCTCCGTTTGCGGCGCCGACGTCTCGAGGCAGGAGGGCAACGTTTCCCCTTGTCCGCCTTTGCAGCCAGTGTCCGTTATGTAGCCGGGGGCGCCGCTCGAGCGGCTGCTCCCCAAACCTCGCCGGACCTGGCACCGGGTATTTGCAGTGGGGGGAGAAGGGGCCCATACCTTGTCAGGCTGAACTGAAGGGAGCCAAAAAACAGAAAAAAAAAATCCCAACCCTTTTTTGGATTTTTTTCTTGTGCGGCTAATTATAGTTCCACTATTTAAGCACTTAAAAACACAAAAAAGTATAAAAAATTTATAAAAGACCCAAAAACTAAACAAAAAAAAGTAGCAAAAAATTGTTCCTTTCTAGTGTTGTCAGTTCCACTGTTTTTCTGCTCCTGTGTGTTGTAACCCATTCTCTATGTCCGAGAGCTCACATCGGTTGTGCAGAGTTGTTTCAGGTTTCCCAGACAAGTAACACCCCTCGGATCCAGTTTCCTTCTGCTCCTTGCTCTCCTCCTGCTTGCTCCTGTTTTAATTCTCCGCAAGTCTTGTGCATGATGTCCTGTACTACCTGACCTTCATGACAGGGTTTTTTTCTTCTTTTTCCTTCTGAAGAAGAATACTTTTTTTGTTTTGTTCGTACTTTGATGTTTAAATGTGATACTATTTAAAAAACTGGATTTTAAAAAAGGTTAGTCAGGAAAAAAAACACAGAAACAGTGGTTGCAAACTGCTCCACTCCTAAGTAACCACAGGAGCGTGAACGTACTCTAGAAGATTAGTGCGCCCAGCCACCTGCCCTCTGCACCTCCACAGACACCCCTCCAGCTAAGCACTGTCTGCTTTGAGACAGAGAAAGCAGTTGTTAGTGAACTCAACTAGGTCACTTGAACAAAAAGGGTATTTCTTACCTGTTAGTTCCTTACCAGGAAATACAGCACTCAGTGTGGATATGCACCAACACTCAACTCTCCACACCAAGTGTAAACCTTAAATTTCACAACGAGTCTGCTTTTTCCATCTTTATAACCCTTTAGCGTGGGACCAGGACGGCTCAGTGAGGTGCTAGAGTGGCTAGTAGGCTTGAACGATGTGTAATTACCCATCACAAAAACCCCAAAAGACCCTTATCCCCAAGTTTTGTGTTCATGTAACTTCTAACCCAGAGCAAAACCTTTCAAAGCGCGTCTCTCAATGTTACGCCTCTCTTTCTCAGAACAACCTCTCCCACAATCTTAAGCTCTCTCCACAGCCCTGAGGAAGGTATTGTACTCGGAGCCATTGTACTGATGAAAGCCTTCTGGTAGCAATAAAGAAAGTTGTCCTGGATTCCGAGTCTCATTTCGTGCTTTTTACCTAGGATCAGAAGCAGTTTTACAAACATCTCCTCTTCAGCTGCTGCAGCCCCAGGCTCCCATTGCTTCTTGCTCTCTCATCCCATTCTTGCAGAGGAGCCGACAGTCCACTCGGACACATGGGAATGTTCTAGCTCCTGTGTCTCCTGTCCGTCTCCTCTGTGACTTCCTGAACAAGCTCTTGAAGTGTCACGTTTCTCGGGTACAGGTTGGCTGTATTTACTGCTTGCCAGGTACTCACCGCAAATCACGTCTGGCTGTAAAAAGGTTGGTATCCCCTTGATTCCTGATGCGTGCTTCCTAAATTCCTCCGCTCCTTGGGACTTGGACCTCACACGCCTCCCTGGGAAGCAGCCTCTGCTCTTGGTGTACATGCAGGGCACCTCCTACCTCGCTTCCCTGTGTTGTGTCTTTTCCAGATAGGGGTTGGGGAGCCTCAGCACTTCTGTCCAGCACCCCCCCAGCCACACACCCAGGCGGACATCACAGCATTTCAGTGACAGGGGTGCTACTCGAGTCTCGCATGAGTTAAGCCACACACCATAACAGGTCTAAACATCAACTGCCCTGGTACTGCGTGTACCAACACTTGAATGGGAGGGACTGAAGCCAGGTAAGCTGGCAGCCGCACCAGGCTGGTGGACTTTCCGCACAGAAGGAGCCTTTGTGCCCCTGTGCTCTCTGTGTGTGCGTGTAGCACCAAGGAGCTTCCGGGCTGTCCCACAGGAGCAGTTGCAAAGAGCTCAGAGCTGAATGGGGAACCCAACTGTTCCAGCTGGGTAGCACTGCACACTGTGAAACGAGGGAGAGAGCTGTTGGAGGGCTGCCAGTTTCACCTGGCTTCCAACCGCACGCTGCATACTGGGCAGAGGTGCAAACAGGGATACAAATGCCACGGCACCACCACCCAACACCACCAAACCCCAACCTCAGCCTGGAACAGCTGCCCCCTCCCTGGTCAGGCAGCATCTCCTCCCACCCAGACCTCGGGGCTCTCCCAACCCACCACCACCCCGGTGCATCCACCACGGAAACCCCAGGTGTGACCACGGTACCTCTGCCTGGCCGCCTGCTCCTGACCCTACCCCAGGTGCCAATGTGGGCCTCTCCACAGCAACAGCAGCACCATAAAGCCGCATTCAGCCCAGACCTGCAGCTCTGCTCCCGGTGCCAGAGCCACTACTGGGCTCTGCTCCTGTGCCACAGCTGTCCCCACCCCAGAGTCCGGGACACCTGGGGCAGCACGGCTGGCTGCTCTGGAGCACATCCGTTAACTGCTCCTGGCAATGAGGTGATCTCAGGGCAAGCTTGCCTTGGGAACCGTAGCCTTCCCAGCAAGCTCAGCTTTTCTGAACAGTGACCTGGAAATCACCAGTGTCAGAGACAGAAACCACTTCCCATGTCTCATCCCCACAAAAATCCCCAGGTAACAACAAAGCCCAGACGTGTTTCCCCCCCCGCTCCCCGTGCTGTCACTTCACTTGGAGCTGTTTGCAAGACAGGAGAGCGACAAGGCCCTCCTGCAGCTCGCTGCCCTGTACTCCAGCACTGCCTTCAGGTGCTGGGGAGGGCTGCACCACAGACACAGTGCTCTGCCTGGGGCACCAGGAGACCTGCGAGGTCTCCCGCACCCTCAGCAGGGAGCTAATCGTGCTGATGCTGGGCTAGGGGTAGCAGAGAGCCCAAGCCATTTGAATCCTTTCGTATCTGTTTGTGGCCCTGGTCCTCATGAAGCTGCCCAACCAACTTCTGCTGACGACATCTCCCTTCACAAACCTGTGCAATCAGTTCCAGATATTCACTACCTGCTCTGTGGAGAACTGTTTGGAACCAACTTCCTTCTGGCTCTGTGAATGCCTGTTGGTTCTAGCAGCACCAATTCAGTAACTAATAAAGAGCAGCGGCAGATGCTGACCTATTTTGTGGACTGGAGTGCAGCCCAGAATCTCAAACTCAGGCTGGAAGGGACCTGTAGAGGACATCCACAGCAGCCTCGGGCATACAGCAGCCCTGATCCTCCTCTCTCCAAACCAAGCAGCTCTAACTGTTTTGGCCTCACCTGGTCAGCTGCTGTTCCATCCCATTCATCTTTATAGCGCCCTTCTCTAGCTCCACTGTGTCCTTCTGGAAACACCCAGGCCAGTGCTGCAAGCAGGACTCAGCGCATGAGCATAGCAAGAATCAGAGCTGCAAAATAAACGTGGTTCATTTAAAGTGGTGGCATTTTGTCTCTCAGCTTCCTCTTCTCTCTCTAGACATACATCAATACCTAGGTCCATACCGACACATACACACAAAGCTTAAAAGTTTCAAACTATTCAGAGCTTACATGTGAACTGAAGGGTTTAGCCCTACTTGGGGCTTTGCAGAGGCATCTGCAGTACTGCTTAGTCCCTGTGCCCTGAGCCCCTCCAGCTGACAGAAACATCGTCTTTCATACATCAGAGTCTTTGAGAAGTGTGGAAAAAACATCCCCAGCTTGGGCACTTGCCAATCCCTTGGAAAATCCCAGGTCCATCCAAGTCTGTCAGATACCTCTTCCATGTTGTCAACCTGCCATCTCAGCTGCCACTTCCCATCTTAACATAGGCAGTTTCAGAAAGGCTTGGGGCGCAACTACAGGGATAAGATGACAAACCCAGTAGCACTTAATATCCCCTTTTTGGTGTGATATAAAGAAACAAAACCAACATGTTATCTCCCACTTCCTTGTAATGAATACTGCCTAGTAGCCACAGTGGAGCCCATGTCCTAGGGCTGCCATCACAAGCAGGGGATTAGAGAGCCCAACACAACAGCTGCTTTCCCACTGAGGAGCATGAGCAGTAAGTGACTGCACTGGTGAGAGCACGAGAGGCTGCTTGTTATTTAACAGGCCAGACTCCCAACACCAGATGAACCTACCCTGCAAATTTAAAGTCAAAAAAGAGCCCAGAAGGCCGAGGAATCAAAAGGGGAAGCCCACTTACACGGCCAAGGTGCACAAAGGCCCCTCCAAGGTAGCAGGCCCCGATGCCACGGCCCAGAAACGGCGCCAACACTCAAGTGAAGGGACCCAGCACTCGGGAAGCAGGTCGTTTTAATGGTCGAGTTGTTTTTTCCCCCCTCAGCAAACGGGGCTGTGTGCGAGCTCAGATACAAGCACAGCCCCGGGCCGGGGCGGTGCATGCCAGCCCCGCAGCAGCCTTGCCAGCTGCATCGCTGCTGCCTTTACCACTGCTTTGGGCACACGTGGAGATCAACCCTCGATGGCTGCCCATGGCGTGGAGCACTTGCAGGACTCAAAATGAGAAGGATGCGTTTGTGTAAGCAGCACACCTGTCCTCAGCAAAAGCACCCCCAGATTTCTGCGGGAAAAGGGAAGAATTAACACAGGAAGGGCTGGATCCAGCAATGCCTTCAGAGCCACAGTCCAGGAGGTCCGAGGTGCCCAGTCTCCTCCTCAGCAAGCTGCATTCGAGGAGCTGGCCAGAAGGGCCCGTCTCGCAGGAAGCGCCGCGTGGCTGGAGAGCAGCAGGGGAGCAGGCGTCATGGAGCCCATTGGAGCACTAGAGCAGGGCTAAGCGCAGCTTAGCTATGGACGCTGCTACATCTGTCCTTGAAGCGGCGGCCGGCCACTCCACTTAGACACCACGTAAGTTTTCACAGTGATACACAGAAAGTAGTTCAGTCCGTTATCTATAGATCCACCCACCTGCTTGGAAACCTTTCCACAACAAACAGGTTTTCTGATGCCTTAGGAAAATGACTACCTTCCTGAAGAGCTTGATGTCTCTGAACAGTGCTGAAAAATATTGTGCTTTTGGAAAAAGAAGGCAATGATTTCAAGCTCAGATCCCCAACAACTTACATGGCAGGTGCAGGCTGAGGGATAAAGCCTGTATTATTTAATAGTACCTTTGTCATTGCACTTGGAAGAAGGTTAATTAACCTTGGTTAAGATTCCTGGATGAGGAGATAAAAAAACCCAAAAAACCAAAATCCAACTGTTTAGTTAAAAACAAGTGCACTGCTGTGCTGGAAGAACATCCACAGGGATCAGGCTGCCCCTTCCATCCAGCCAGACCCAGCTAGAGGTCACTGCACACCAAGCTGACAAGGTTTGTTTTCATGTTTTTACCTTTCAACAACAGTTTGGCACTCTTCAATTCTCTCGACTAAATTCACTTGCAAAGCAAACAAGCTACAAAGATAAGCAAATGTCCTCCATTCAAGTAAAAAAAAATCCTTTAAAAAAATAAATGGAGCTCTCAGAATGCAAAGAAGCCTTTGATCACATCAGATGAGTGCAGCTCGGTTGCTCAAGAGACTCACACCCCTACTTTGCTCATACAGAGGTCAATGAATTGGGAGAAAATAAAGCCTTGGCGGTCCAGAACCAGTTGCAAGAGCACAAACAGCAGGCAAGAGCAGCCGTGCTCCCTTCGTGCAGCTTGACATGGAAAATAGCCAAAATAACAGGTCGCCTGGGTTGCCGGACCCATTTCTTCACGGGCTACAGCAGCTCAGCACACGCTTGCGCTGAAGTCGCTGTGTTCAAAGCGGCCAGAGCAGAGTCAGAAACCAAGTCCTCTGGTTACACACACTCACCCAGATCCACTGGCCGCCAGTCAACCTCTGGGCCACCAACATCCCGGGCACTTCAGAGCAAGAGCAGAGAAAACAGGAGGGGAGGAAACAACAACAACTCCCAGTGCAGCGTCCAGGACTGGGGCCCCACTCTCTCCGCCGGCCTTGGCCTCTGTCACCTTTGGTGGCCGAGACGCTGCGGCCAGAGCCCTCACTGAGACACAGAGCACAGTGCACCCGCAGACCCACAGGCGAGAAACAGAAAGGGGAGGAGAGAAGGGCGGACGT